ACTAGCAAATTTGATTTGTTGTTGCAACAATTTTTTTTGTTCTACTAACAAATTAATTGTTATCACAACAATTTTGATTTGTTAGGAGAACAAAAAAACTGTTTCAACAACAAATCAGATTTGCTAGTTCTATATTAACAAAATTAATTAGTAGATTTAACAATTCCTTTTTCTCCGTGTAACTTATTGGTAAAGGAATAATAGAAACAAATTATAATTGAATTATTCCCATTAGATAAATGTCAGCGAGTTGGACTTTTCTCGGGAAACTTTTTAAATTTGCATTATACTCTTAATATTCTATTTGGAGTATTAATCAATGAGAGTGTTGAATTTTCGCAAAAAAAAAATGATAAATTACACCGGAAAGTTTAAATCACGTTTGAAACATACGTCAAATTTGCCATAAGATGATAAAACCATTTGCCATTTATAGCGGACCATCGTTATTGCAACGAGCACGTCTTTTTCAATGTTACGTATCATTATTTCCATAAATAATGCACGCAACGCTTTAGTAAATTTTAATAGTCACCAAAATTGCTTCATATTTTCCAATCTATACATTAGCGTGTCTAATGCAGTCATGTTTTGTCCATAAATTATCAATAAAGTAAATATTGACCAGGTAGTCAATATCCCCCCCCCCCCCGCCGCCAATAAAAAAATACAAAATTTCCCTTCATTAATTTCCTAAAAATAAATTTTAAATCTAAATTCTCTCCTGAAATTCTTTTCTTATTTTATCACATTTTAAAAATCCGAATGTTTTTAATTCTTTTAAATTTCCTATTAAAAATCTAATTTTGTTTTCATTATAATATATAATAATGTAAAATATAATTTTTATCATTTTACAATAATTGAATAGTAGTGAAATTTAAACAATTATAGAAATGTACATTAGTATTGAAATTATGTTTACCTTTCATAAAAAAGTAAACTTTAATATGACTTATTTTTTATACAGTTGATTTTATTGTTGATTTTCGAACAAAATGTTGTTTAATTATTGAACAAGAAAAAAGAAGGGTGAAATTAATTTTTATAAACATTGTTGTTTATCGAATCTGATTGAAACAGAATTGTTTGCGGATACTCAACAATATGGAGCCTGGTATATACGGAATAAAGTTTTTAACTATTGGAATCGTCAACAAACCAGCATCCAAGATAAGCAAATATCATTCTGCAGGAGTTCATATATCATGATATAATCGAAAAACGGAATACCGAATATAACAGAGTTATTTACATTAGCTACCGTTTGGATAAAATTTACCTTTAATATAACACGCATATGTATTAATAATAATGAATCCATCAAACGCATATTTAATAAATACTTCACAATTTATTGCAAAAATAATAATAATAATATTAATAATAAAAATAAAAATAATAATAATAATAATAATAATAATAATAATAATAAATAATAACAATGAGTATTCAAAAAAATGTTTCAAACATTCCAAATTATTTTTCAGGAAAAATAGTTATAATAATTAAAAAAAAATTTATAAATTTTTCGCCTTGAATTTTTTAATCTGATATTTTGAAAATCACAATTCATAATTTCACTGCGAATAATAAATTTTGTTCCGAAAATAAATTCGAATTTTCAGTGCATATAATAATTATGATTACTGTGTTTTTAATTTGTCTTTTTCTTCTTTTAAATTGTTGGACCGACAGTTATTAATTTTAAATTTGTAATTTCGCTATTCTCACGAAAAATTTGATTTTTCATTTGAAATTGAAATGGAATCGATTATTTTTTTTAAATAATTAATTTGGAAATTTAATTTTTCATTTTTTACATGTTGACTGAAAATTTGTCAGACATATTTTAAATTTTTCTCCTATAATATATTTATGGAAGAAAAAATTGATTTTAATAATTAGACAAAAAAAGTCTATTATTATTAATTTTATATAAATACTAGAGAAAATATTAATTACTCTCAAAATTTGAGGATTAGTAAAAATGTTTACTGATTTGAAATAGTGACTGATTTTTTCTTTTTGAATTAGTAAATTTTACTAATAAATATTAATTTCTACTAATTAATTAATTTAAATAAATTTAATTCTACTAATTAAAATTAATTAATTATTTTCTACTATTTAATTACTACTAATTAATTAAGAAAGTAAATTTTACTAATTAAGTACTACCTCAAAAATTTCCCCTTGTTACTGTGATTAATTAATCATGAATACAAGAAAAAACAATAAATTAGATAAAAAGGGGATTCTTCTATAGTGCAAACGGTCACGAATTACGAAAAAAATTAATGACAATCGAAATTAAATTAATATTTCATATTCATATTCGCTTATAAATATTTGAAAAGAAATTTTGAAAAACGTACAATATTTTCCAATATTTCCCTTCAATTTAGTTAATTACCTATCATTTACATAAAAATATTGTAGAGCTGATATTTTTCGATAAATAAGCGAATTAGAATTTTAAAATTGTTCCTTTGATAATTATATTTTACTAATAATAGAATTATATATTTTCAATATATATTTACTTACGAAATAAACTCGACAAGAACATATGTTGTTTAACTCACCTGAAACAAGAAGAATAGAAAATTCTTTATATAAGAATTATTACAAAACAAGTAATAATAATGAAAACAGATAATAAATTCTAAATTCTATTAAATGATTGTATTAGATTATTTATAATAATAAATGTTAAAATAATAATTCAAAACTATTTACAACTATTCCATGAATTTTACTACGTAACCTAATTAAATTTCAGTAAAAATTCTTGAAATTTACTTCGAACTTGGCAAAATTTCCTCTAAAAATATTGAAATTCACTTTTTAAAAAACCTTTTTTTTTTGTTATTTCCAAAATAATTTTAACTATTTCCGAAGAAAATTTTGTTTAAAGAAATAAATTAGAAAAGTTTATTTTAGACGTAGTAAAATTTACCCTATACATAATATCAGGGAACCCAATGGGAAGTAAACGATTGGTTCAATAATGGACCATGCTTGGCGAACTCCGTTCCATTATTGGAACATTAATGGCAACCATCATTGGACCACCGATGGTTTAAACTTGGGATGATCACGCTACTGCCAATGATCGGTAGCCAAGCATCGGGCCATTATTAGTTGCCAAAGAATTGCCAAGGATACAAAATCGATTTTCAAAAGCTTGATTTTTTATTGGCAGCCAACAAAAAACCAAGGTTTTGAAAATTTATTTTTTTTTAATTATTAATTAAAATTTATTTTTTTTTAATTATTAATTAAAATTTATTTTTAAAAAATATATTTTTCAAAAATATATATTTTTTTAAATTAATAGAACATATTAATTTAATTATTCACCTCTGGTAAAACAAAGGCGATAGAGTGATAAAAATTCCCTCACTGTGTATCTCACACTGGAAGGAATCTTGTGAATGCCTTTGCGGTAGAGGAGCAGGTACTTATAGTGTCACTGAAACAGCTTACTAGCGAGTAGAAACCGCTAGCATGCTACCTGACGGCACTTGTCGGAATGATTTCCTGGCGCGCATTGCTTCGCGCAACGCGGGAATGTTTAAATATGATTCAGAAAATACATTATGTACCAAGAAAAAAAAAGATATATTATAAAAGTAATTATTTTTAAAAAGCCTATATATTTTGGACAGATTAATTATAACATAATAATAATCTTCAACTCTGTTTACTATAATTTTTAATGTAAAAATGTTTCTTTCAATTAATGTAAATAATTATAATAATTATAAATTTTCAAATTTAATTTTTAAATATTATGTAACCTGATCTAAAATGTTTTTATTTTTTTCCATAACTTTGTATTCACAATTATTTAAAATATTTTTTATAATTATTATTAATAAATAAAATAAATTATTATCGTTTTAAAATTATTTTAATAAATATTTTTTTTCATGCGAACTATTATAATGATAATAAATTATAATTATTAATCTGCATATTTTATTTTCAGAAGAGCTTTAAATCTTTCTCACAAAAAATAATTATCCGATAAAAATAACATACTGGACGTATATTATATTGTTTTATTTCAACGGCAAATAACTTGTAGTCGTGTAATAAAATTGTGAGTAAAGGCGAAGCATTTTTAGGTTATAAACGTGAAAACATGTTTTGACAGCTCCGGTAAAATGAGTTGCAACAAATGTGAGTCTAGGTTTTTTCTGTGGCTTTAGTAATTTTTAAATTTAATTCAAATAAAAAATAAACAGGATAAAATTTCTTCGTGTTTCAGCACGATTGAATTAAAATTAAAAAATTTAATTTATCTGGATTCAGAAATTTACTTTAAAATTAATTGATACAGTGTTTATTGTTTTTGATAGATTTAAATTAGAAGAAAAGTATAGAAAGGCGATTTTTTATGTTTAATAAATTGAATTAATTTATAAGTATTTCACTATTATTAACTATTGATATTATATGAAGTTTGAGTAAAATTTAATAAGAATAATTCTTAAAAAATGTTTTTAAGAACGTAGAAAAAAATAATATATTCTTCAAGGGAAACTGTAAGTTTATAATTAAAAAATATTTTTAATAATTTAATTTCTCAATGAGCTGTATTAAAATAATTTCAAAATAATTAATTTGATGATAAAATATAGACATAAAATTTATAAATAACAAAATTTTAAAAGATTTGAAATGAAAACTCTTGTAAATTTGATTTTATCAATAATTTTATCAATAATTATTGTTACAAAATTTAAATAAAGCCAAAATTATAAAAAAATTTTAATTCATAAGTATTTTAAACAACAAAATTAAAAAATGAAAAGTCATAATGAATAATATAAGAAATATTTTAATAAAACAAATTTTATGAAATACATCATAAAAGCTAAGTGTGATTAAAATAAAACGAAAAATTTTTAATACTCGTAGTATTTGAGGCCTGCTATATTTAAAATAACCATAAATTATATTATTGAAATATTTTGGCGTGATGGAAGTATAAAACGATTCCAAATATCTGTTAATATAACTAAAAATTAAATCTTTTATCATCATTGTTAGTAAAGAACTTTTACAGTTCCCTTATAAATGAAATACATAAAACTGACTGACAAAAATCGGGTTTTTTAATTCCTATGCTCTAGTCTTTCTGAAAATGAGTGTAAATTCTACTAGATTGAAAGGTAATAAGATTTTCATCAATGCCATTAATCCAACCAACTAAAATACAGCAACATCTGTACAGTTTTTAGAATAAATAGTCCAAAATTAGCTCTTCGAAACTTCTGATTATTATTGCAAAAATCTCTTATTACCAAATGTCCAAAAGTGAAATCCACATAAGGAAAGTAACAATAGAAACCAGTGCTATCAATGTTGATATACCTAAAATTAAAAAAATATTAATAAAATAAATAAATATAAAAGAAAAGTTAATTAAATTTAAAGAATTGTATTACCTTTTGCATTGTCTAGAAATAGAGTAACGAACGTGTTGCTAAACATTTCGATGATGATGTGAATAAAATTCGTAGCATGTCCAAATTAATGCTATTTTCATTTGAGAAGAAAGCCTTTTGAATTTTAATTGTGCAATAAAAAATTAAATCATCGAAAACTTTAATTATATCGCAAAAAGCATTGGTGTCCAACTGTTATAAGAGTTTATGTACTTCCAAAAATTAAATAGAGAAGAAATATTAATATTAATTTTGTCGATGTCTACGTTGCTGAATTTGATGTCGCCATATTTTCGGTTTATTTTCTTCGATCTTTACAGTTGTCATATTTTAATTTTTGTCCTCTGATTTTTGACCACCTGAAAATATTTGTTAATATTCATATTCTTGTTACAATTATGATTACTAAAATTATTCTTTGATATTTTTAATACTATTTTGCAATTCGAATAATTTTAAATATAAGAAATTATTTTAATATATTTTTTAAGCGTGCAATAGATCAGATTACAACAACAATTCACGTGCTTTCTATATTTTATAATATAAAAATTTCGTATTGAAATTTTGTGTACTTACCGTTGCAAAGAAATTTTTTATTCTACGTGTAGAAAATTAAGTGCATGCTTCTCATTTTCTATGTCCAAAACGATACACTTATTTTTTACTTGATTTAAATTTATCATCATCCTTGTAGAACTTGTTGAACCTAATTTCCAAATTCCCAATATTGAAGATTTGCATGGATAGTCAAAAGAATTACCAATGTTTTGAATTTCGTGACCTTCTACAAAAATATTTTCATCGACTTTCAAGATTCCTGTAACCTCAAGAATAGTGTTATTATTTAATAACACCGTATTATCTGGACGAATAGTGCGAATTTTAATTTCTTTTACCGTGACAGCTTGAATTTCTTCCGTTTGGTTTTTATATTCGACAAGTGGGTCTTTTTGAATTCGTTGAACAGGTTGATTTACTGTCAATTTAAATTCAGGCAACAACGTAGGACAATTTTCAATTTCAGAAATCCTTTTAATGAGTTGTGGAACAACATCTTTTCGTCCACTTATTAATGATTTCAACATGCCTAAACAATTTTCGAAGGGAAAAGCCGAAAAATCTGACAAAGATTTTCTCATTCGTTCCACATCATCAGCAACGTGTAAAAGATTGTGATTGTTTAACGTTTGACAATCTTCTCCAAAATAGGTAGGCATCAAAATAAAAAAATTTTTTAAAAGCGTCTTCGCGTAACTTTGATGTTTTACTGCAAATTCGGAGGAACTTAAAATTCGACAGGCTACAAAATATAGCAGGAAGTGCTTGTAGGCGCAAGAACCCAAAACATGCTTTAGAACAATTGCACTGCAGTATAACAGAACGAAACGAAATTGTGTAGCCTTCCAGTAAGACAAATCTTCAATTTTCAAAGTCTTTCGCTGGAACTCAAGAGGTATCCCTTTTGAAGCACTCTCAAACAATTTACCTAACTTTTCTCGGTTTTTACCATTCAATTTCGCCATTCGTTTTTTTGAACTGAACCACTCTTCCAGACAGTATTTCATGCCACCTTCGGAGAGCAAGTGCATTGAATCTAAAAATACATCTCTGACTGGGTCGAAATCGCGTATTTTTAAAAGGTAGCAGTCTGCTACGTGGTGCTCAATTTGGGACTTCTTTCGAAATGATTCATTTGATCGTGGTGTAGAATCGATTTTTGGAAACACTCTTTTCCTGTTCACTGTCAATCCATGTATTTCGCATCTTTCGCAGCAATTAAAGCCAGTATGACCTTTTGAACCCTTGATAAAGGCTCTCGCCGGAGTGTCGCAAACAAATCCATGAAATTTTATTTGGTAAAATTTTTCTTTAATCTCTATTCCATTAAGGAGTAGAGAATTCATTTCCTTTACAAATTCCTCAAAAAATTCTGCCGCTGACTTGGGTTTTCCATCGCCGCCAAAAAATCCGATAAGAAATGGTGCTGATTTGTACCCCATGTTGTCTATCTTTCCCAAAATAGGCCATAACTGTTGACGAGATTTTTCAAAAATTTGCATTCCATCCACATTTACAATAAAAGTTATTGTATCTTCAACAAATATGGATGGATCTATAATTTTTTGTAATCTTTGCGTAATTCCAAAATATACAAAAGAGCCAAGATTCCCTCGTGAACTGTACATCTCTTTAATGTTGAAGTCGGATGTGCATTGTGATGGAAGAAGCATTGCTGCTGACGATGGAAGATCTTTATGGCCTTCTTTCTTTAAAGTCTTCAATAGCTCTTCTATACAATTTCTAGTTAAATTCTTCCTGAATTTAATTGCCCAAATTTGCATTTTTATCCTGAAATTCTCTTTTTTATTTTTTTCCAAATTAATTATTGATGCTTGAGGCTTACTCTCGTCAAACTTCTCTTCTTCATCATTCTCTGATGAATTGTAATCAGTGTCAATATTGTCTTTAATATCGACATCTTCTTCTTCTTGACAATTTATATCCGGATCATAAAGTGGATGTGAAGTGCTTGAAAAATTTTCATCTTCATTTGTGTCCTCAATATTTCCCTGTTTTTGAAAAATAATTCCTTTCACAAGGTGCGAATATTCAGGGTCAGTAATTTCGTGTATTTCTTTGTCGTTTATAACTGCTTCGTCATTGTTTGATAGTGTCGGTTCGTTATTAACTGCTTCGAAATATATCAATGGCTTTAGGTTTGTAAAATTTTCTCTCGTATCGACTTCGGGAAATGAAGTGTCTGAGAAGTTGTTTTCATTCATTTTTTTTAATTTAACGCTCCTACTTGACAATTCCTCTTCTGACTCTCTTTTTAGGGCTCGATACTTCTTAGTCCGTTGATAACTTGACATTTTCTTTTTATTGGATTTTTCACCTAAAAACGAAAATATGACAGAAAATGAGGGAGTTGTTAAGGTTTTAGATTTTCAAAATTTCATGACTTTTCTAGGTTTTCCAGACAATTTTTAGAAAAATTCTATAACCAAATTTAATGTTCTTGCAATATATTTTTAGAACTTTATAACAGAAAGTATACAATATTCGAATTAAATTTTAAATAATAAATAAAGTAGTAATAACTAATATAATAAAATATAAATAATAATTTTATAAAGAATTGAAACATCATTATTAAAAAATAAAGAAAATTAAATGGATTAAAAATATATTTATAATTTATTATATTTATTTATATTATTTATTATTCCTTCGTTAATTGAGATTTTCTCGATTATTTCATGATTTTCATCGGGTAATATCAACATCCTAATTATATTATATTAATTATAAGATAAAACAATATTATTATTGCATTTACAAATATGAATTTAATTTGATCCATTAAAAATATTGCTACACGAATATAAATTTGTTTAATATATTTATAGAATCTCAATTTTAAGTTTGCTTTTTTTAATTACTGAACAATTATGATTTTTACCTAATTTTTACAAAGAATTTCATAAGATATTTGTAAAATCATTGCTATTTTAAAAATTTACTAAAATTTCGATCGTTGAATTTTGATGACAATATTTTGTTCAAATATTATTCAAGTAATAAAATTTTTATTTTCTATATATTCTTTAAACAAAATATTATTTAACACTAGAAAAGAATTAAAATTTGTAGATTATTATTCAAATAGCAAACTAAAATATTGATAAAAACAAAATAATTTTCTAATTTTTCTCAGTATAAAGAGTTACATAACCTCAATACTAACTTATTTGATCATACAAAAAATATTGAGTTCTGCGTTTTTTGACAGAATACTCATTTATTTAAATTAGAAAAAGTATTTTTACTTTGTGTATTTTTGTACTTACTTCAATGTATTATTATTTTGTAAGATTGTAAAGAAAAAAATGTAGTAGTAGTTGCACATCGAGACAAATGTTTAACTGCTCTAACTTTGATAATAAAAATTTATCTATAAACTACTAATTTTCCATTACTTAAAATCCATAAGTCGTAACAAAGTACTTTAGAAAAATGTAATAAAGTGTTTAAAATACTGTTAAATTTTCAGAAAACAAATAATGTAAACACAAAACAAATGGAGAGAACCAAAAACGCTGTGTGTAGTCTGCTACAGCGCCTACGCTGCTAAGTGTCAAGTGCGCAGTCGCATTCGATATTTAAACAAGTTGACTGTAACCACCCGTATAAAAATTATATTCCTTACAAATATTTTGAATTTTAAAAAGATTTCAATAACAAAAAATTATATTCATAAAAAATCAGGAATTCAAGACAAAACTGGACGACCTTTTTCATCAGTTGCTAATAAAATAGTGAACTAGAAATTAATTAAAAAATAAAAATTATTTCTTGTTAGTTTGCAACACTGATTGATCAGTTGAATACGTAAAGATTCATAAGTGTGAAGTTGCTGTTGATTTTCTGTAGCCGACAATATTTTAAGTGATTGACTAAACGTTTGGACCACGCGAAGTAATTGTATGTGTAACGAACTTTTGTCATATAGTTTATTCTGAATCGAAAAGTGATCTCTAAAAGGTATGTAATTATAATTAGTTTTTTTTTACGTGTCCATTGTTTTAAAATTATTATATTGAAAAGATTGAAAATAATTATTAAATGCAGGCAAGACATAACCTGCACCAAGAAATAACATGAAACGCGATATGAAATGCATGAAAAACTACATTAACTTTTTATCAACAATGTAATTTAAATATTTAAAAAAAATTATAAGAGAAACAAAGTTTTTAAATAACTAACTAACCATTCAAATAGCAATTTTAAATTATAAATAAAATTCCGGCATGAAATCCTATACGAATTTCAAATTTCAGCCATGTGACTGTCATCTCATTTTTGCAATATGTTCATTTTTTCAGCAAGATTAAATGTGAAATTCTAAGTTTTTAAAGCAAATTTTTTAGATTATTTATTATTCATTATTATTAAATTAATACAAAAAATTAAGAAATTCTTAGTGTCACCATTTCCACATTTTCTAGATTATTTTAGATTATTTATTATTCATTATTATTAAATTATTACAAAAAATTAAGAAATTCTTAGTGTCACCATTTCCACATTTTCTAACAATTACAAAAATTTATAATAATTTACTTAACAAGTTTTTCACATTATTACCTACTTACATCATTTTTAATATTTTTTTACAAAAATTTACATTAAATCCGCCTAGAAAAATTAATATGGTAATTGTATTTTATAAACATGTTAAATCATTATTACAAAATATCGTAATTTTTTAAAAACAGTCGGCAACAACATTGACGAAATATTTTAAATTGGCTCATTTTCAAAATTTAAAATGTTTTCAGATGTCGGAATATATAAAATCAATAGCAAGATTTTTTCTAATAGAATTTTCTGCAGACCTTAAAAAAAAAAAATCAAAACGTCCCTCGAAAAAATGTGTGGACATTATTCCTATTTCTTGGGCTGCAGAAAATAGGAAAACATGTAAATATCCGGATGAAAAAGATTATCCCAATTTGGAAGACTGGATAAAACAGGAAGTACCTCCCGGGCCTACATGGAAAGAATTTCCTATTACAGTCATTGCAGAAGCTCGTGAGTACCTTTTAATTTACAGTTTATAGTCTCGAAAATATACCAATACCATATTTTCCAATTATTAATTAATTAATTAATTAATTAACTATTAACTATATTTGAATGTTCTTTCATTCATTCACTTTTTCTGTCCCTCACACTCTGAAGTTGTCCTTTATTTATACTTTTGTTTTTGTTATCTTTACATAGATTAATAAATATATTATATTATTATACTAGAAAATTTTACTTGCGGAACGTGATATTCAATTTACTATTGTTATGCAAATTATAAATATTTTTAATCTTCAAATATAAATTTTTAAAATAATTTCATATTCAAAATTTATAAAATTCACTTATTAAGTACAAAATTAATTCTTACTGTTCATATTTTCTAAAATTGTAATAAATCCTTCGAAAAAATTCAATTATTTTTATAAATAGTATAATTCTTCACAAGAATTAAATTATTTTTAATCAAATTTAAATAAAATTACATGAAAGAATTTAATTATTTTCAAAAAATAATAAAATTCTTGTGATGAATTCAATTATTTTGAATATACATAATTTAAATAAAATTCTTTAAAGAAATTCCATTATTTTCGAAACAACTTTAATTGAATTTCTCGAAAAAATTTCATTATTTTAAAATATTTCTATAAAATTCTTCATAACAATTTAATTATTTCTTAAATTTTTTTTTTAATTCTCGCGAAACACTTCAATTATTATTTTTAAAAATAGTAAAATCCTTCTAAACATTTCAATTATTTTTTTAAATAGTAAAATCTTTACAAAAATCCAATCATTTTCAAAACAATTTTAATTGAAATCCTCGGATGAATTCAAATATTTTTAAATATTTCCATAAATTTTAATTATGTCCAAAAATTTTAATAAATTCTTCGAAACAATTTTTATAAATAGTAAAATTCTCCGCAGGAATTCAATTATTTTCAATTCACTTTTAATAAAATTCTTCGTCATAAAATTCAAATGCTTTAAAAAATTTTCAATTAAAATTATTACAGAAACTTCATTAGTTTAAAAAAAAATTCAAAGAAATTCTTCAAAAGAATTTAATTAGGATTTTAAAAAATTTTAATAAAATTCTTTGCGAGAATTCAGTTATTTTCCTAAATAATAAAATTCTTTGAAGGAATTCTATTATCATCAATTTTTTAGATAATATTTGAAAAGAAAAATTATTAAAAGTTAATAATAATGCAATTTATATAGCATTATGTTTGTTTATGAATCACAATTTTTTAAAAAAATTATTATTTTGTTTTACAAAAAGAAGAAAAATATTTGCACTATTTCTATTTTTAATCTTATTTTTGGAACAGGATTTTCCACAGGAATTAAGACATTCAAAAATTTCAAATTCAAACCTTTTTTAAATTAAACAATTTGTAAAAGTATTGTTATAAAACATGAAGATATCGATTCGATTTCTTAATATTTTATAATAATTAAAGATGACGAAGTAATAAAATCATTATTTTATATTATTATAAGAATATTGTTACTGTAACTTCATCAAAATTATTTTCATCATTTTAATTCAATTATTATTTTCTAAAATTTAAAATAATTTTTTATGAAAATAATTTAATTCCTTAAAAAAAATTTATTATTTATAAAAATAATAATTGAATTCCTGTGTAATTTTTATTATTTATGAAAATATTTAAATGTTTGTATACAATTTTATTAACATTTTTTTTAAATAATTGAATTCTTTTTGGTAAATTTTATTAAAATAATATAGATATTGAAAATCATTGAAATTAGAAAAATGCATTTTATTTTTAAAAATACAAAATGATATTAGGACAAGAATTTTTTTGACATTTAGGAAAATAATTTAACTTTGGAGAAGAATTTTGTTATTTATAAAGATAATTGCGATTTTTACAAAAATTTTTTTTCAAATTTTGTTATATTTGAAGGTGATTATGATCAAGTTATCAGGAGAGTCAATCGAATGTGTGCCGATGGTGTCGTCGAGGACAGTGCTGTGGACACTGATGCAAATAGTTCACAACAATCACAGGAGGAACTAAATATATTGACCCAAAAAGAGGCTGCTCTTAAACTTCAAAATATTCCACAATTGACACTTGAAGAAGGTAACAAAGACAGGGCTCGGATTGTACGACTTTTTCGACTTTTTTGTGAAAAAATGCGACTAATCGACTTTTTTCACATTTTTCAATTACTTTTCGACTTAATTTGTAAAAAATGGCAAAAATCTTTTTTTTTTGTAAACAATGTTGTTTACAAAATCATTCTTCTCTTTGGGGAAAAGAAACATAACATATTATCCCGTTTCTTAATATTTTTGAAGGAAATTCTCAATTTTCATAAGGAAATAATTTGCATCAATTATATTTCATAATTGAAATTGCTTCAATAATATTTAATAAAATTAATGAAAAAAAAATTGTTTATAAATTCTATTTGTCAATGAGAAATTTAAACATTTGAAATTTTTAGTAAATTAAAGGAAAAAGTTTTAGTCAAAAAAATGTTCTGTTACATTCATTTACAAATTTCTTTCAAATTTTCCGAAAACATTAATAACTTTTTTTTTAAACAAATATTTAATTATAATTTTTTATAGGAATTAAAATTTTTCAAAAGATTCAAATTCAAACCTTTTTGAAATCAATATTTTATAATATAAGAGTTTATAAAACAAAAAATTTTTTAAAATTATTTTTTATGAAAATAATTGAATTATTGGGAAGATATTTATAAAACATTCGTAAGTAATTGAATTTGGCAGAAGAATTTTGATATTTACAAATATAATTAAAATTTTGAGGTGAATTTAAATAAAAATTTTGAAAATAATTGAATTTCTGCGAAGAATTTTCTTACTTTTGAAGATAATTGAATTTTGCAAAGAATTTTATCAGAACTTTTGAAAATAATTAAATTTCCATGATAAATTTTATTTTTTATTATTTATAAAAAAATTGAAATTTTGACAAGAATTTTATTAAAATTCTTTGTAAATAATTGAATTTCGGAGCTTTGCATTTCTATTTCTTGTTAAATTTGTATTTATTTCCATAATTAATTTTTTTCAATGTATCGATAAATACTATTACAATTTAATAGCAATTGAACTTACTTATTTTTTATCTATTAAAAACTTAAATGTTAATTATTAACAATTCCATATACTGTTTTTAGATTTGGATACCATGGATATTTCATCTCAAGCATCTTTTCCTTTTCCGGTGAAAGAAGGGACTAAGAGAAGGAAACCTTATTCAATTCAAACTAAGAAAAGTACGTCTTTTTTCTATGTTCAGTGTATAAGTATTTAATAGGAAAGTTCTTTGGTATTTTGAAGTATAACAAGAAAATAATTTAACAGTGTTGCTACAGGTCAGCGAAATCAGGGAAAAACAAAATTAAATTTTTGTGTTAAACCTGTTTAATTATTTTATTTATGTAGTTTAAAATATCGATAAACACTCATTGTAAGGAGGGAGTTTGACTACATTTTTAACTATATCAAGAAATAATTTTAAATCATCCAAAAAATTATTTTTATTGAAATTTTTTGAGAAAAATCATTGGTCTGAAAATTATAAAAAAATTATGATTTGAAATTAGAAAAAAAACAAGTTAATTTACATATAAAAAATGGAATAACAATGGCATTTTTTAGCATTTTCAACCTAAAAACAATTTTTCTTTCAAAAAAGTGCTTAAAAATTATAAAAATAAATTTTTTCATTCGATGATTTTTGTGTAGATATACAAATACATGTTTTCTACAAAATTATAGATGTATTTTAAAATTTATCAATTTTTAAGTAAAATAAAAATAATATATTTAAAAATGTAATTAAAGTCTTTCCTTAATTAAAGTTTTTTATTTTCTTTTATAACATATTGGAAATGTATTCAAAGATTACTATATATATTTTCAAATAGAAAAACCATACCTTGCACCCCCTTCCGATTACTTCTCTTCAAGCGATGAAGATACGATTCCAAGGAACTCCACATTCGATTCAAGTAAGTTTTGAAAAACATTGGAAATATTTAAAACAAACTAATTAAAATTTTCGAGTTTATTAATCTTTATACAATATTGTTTTTACTTCGAATAACACATTTATAAAAAATTTATCATTTTTAGTTTAAAAATTAAATCGTTTATACCCCTGATGAATTTAACAATATTTTTTTAAGTGCAATATGAAAGATTTGTAATGAATATCACAAAAGTTATTTACTTAAGTAAATAAATTTTTGTTAGTTTTCTTTTAAATCTATACTAAAAGATATATTATTTTATTATCAATTATAATTTGTGTAGGAGAATCATCTTTGGAAAAGGCACAGAAAAGTCTTGAGCATATTCATCAGGGGTTCTCTGACAGCAAACAAACAGAAGAGGTTCAATCTGAATTCTCTGCAAATTTGCAAGAAGAACAAAATGTTCAAGCACATGGAAACACAGATTTACTTTTAGGCAATGAAAGTATAAAATATCGTAAGTTGATTTTTTCATTTTGTTTTTAGTACTTATATCATTTTTCTAAATGAACTTTTTAAAATTGTTTACAGTTATAGAAGAATTTTTTAATATTGTAAATGCTACAGAGAAGAAAATAATGGATCGTGTAGATGCCGTCGAGAAAAAAGTAATGGATGAAGTTCAAAAAAGGATAACTCTTATGGAACGTAGAATTCATTACGATTTTAAGCAACAAAAAGAAGAAACCATGAACGTTTTAAAAACTTTATCAACGACACAAAATGTCGAAGAATTTTTACAAAACCCGTCAATGAGTGAACTTCCCATTAAAACTTTGGAAGAGTTTAAAATGTTCAACATTAATCTTGATGTTAAAGACGATTTGCAAAAAAATTTGGTAAATATTCACATTACTTTCATTTACAAAAAAATTTAGTTAATTTTACTTTAAAATCTGTTTTTCTTAATTCTCAGAAAGCCCATATTTTACGAGAAATTGTAAATTGCTTAAACGTTCATGATGCCGTGAAATCACTTATGCCAACCTTAATAAAAAAAGAGGTCCAAGTACATTATTCTGGAACAGGAAAAAAATCGAAAGGGACCGGGAAACTCAGTTTCAAAGATACACCCACTTTCTCATGTATTTCAGGTAAAATTAATAAATGTTAAATTTTTTATGGATTAATTTTCAAGCTTATACTTTCATATTTCATATTCATATTTTCAAGCTTATTATTATATACACTGAAAAAAAATTTGATTGATTCAAATAACCGATTAATTGACTATTATTAATTCAATATTTAATTAAATCAATAATATTTAATTGATAATAGTCAATTAATTGGTTATTTAAATCAATTAAATTTTTTTTCAGTGTATGCTGATTATGAATCAGCAACTATTAGCTGATTCAAAAGAGTGTTTACTCATAACTATTTTAATTTAACTTTAACACCCTAGACAATAAATTTTAAGAAAAAATAATTATTGTTAAAAATACAAAATTTTTATAATTAATAACAATTTTGGTTGAAATTTTTATTTTGTTTCAGGTATAGTTAAACATCATATTAAAGATGCGAAGGAAACTGATATAAGCAGCGCAATCGGAATTTGGTTATCTCAATCTGGAGATAGGGAAGGTGGTAGAAAAAAAAGATGTGAAGAAAAGAAAGATGAAAATGCATCTACTTTATCTAAATCAACTGATGAAACTCAAGACGACACTGAAAATATTTAAGAACTTGTTAATTAAAATTAAATTTAAATAAACATTTTTTTGTTGATATTAGGGTGAGATATACCACTGCTCGAGTTTTGGTCACTTTTATAAAATTTTTATTTAATTATTTATTCTAATTAATATTTTTCATTATAATAAGATAGTACTATATGATTTCGGTATTTCCTTAAGTAAGAGGACTCATCTAAAATTGAAAACATTTTTCCGTGTTGTAATAAAAATATTTTTCCAAAATTTTTGCGTTGTTAACTTATCTTTAAACCAAGCTTTTTTCGTATATTTTGGTTATAGTTTGAAATTATAAAATTGCGCAAATACAAAATGATTTAAAATAATAAAATAAACAAAAATTTTTTAATTATAAAAAAATTTTATATTTTGAAAAAGTTCTTAGACAAATCAATTTTTGATGGTATAATAAATAATAATAATTACTAAACTTTTATATATTTATTATTTACTTACTTTAATTATTTTCTATATTTTAATAAAATTCCTTGAATAAATTATATTATTTTAGAAAAACTTAAATTGTTTTAAAAACTTGAAAGAAATTGTTCATAAATTTTAATTTCTTTAAAAATTTTCAATTAAAATTATTAAAGAAACTCAATTATTAAAAAAGAAATTGAAAATAATTCTTCAAAAAAATTTAATTACGGTTTTTCAAATGTTTTTTAATAATTTCTTAGTGAGAATTTAATTATTTTCATAAATAATAAAATCTTTTGAAGGAATTCAATTATTCTCAAATTTTTGCCAAAATTCAATTAATTTACTTACTTGCTTGCTTCATATGCTTTCAAGCATTACTTTTAGAATATAATATTACACTTTTTATTACTTATTGGGTTCATATGCTTCGAATCATATTTAAACATTCCCGCGTTGCGCGAAGCAATGCGCGCCAGGAAATCATTCCGACAAGTGCCGTCAGGTAGCATGCTAGCGGTTTCTACTCGCTAGTAAGCTGTTTCAGTGACACTATAAGTACCTGCTCCTCTACCGCAAAGGCATTCACAAGATTCCTTCCAGTGTGAGATACACAGTGAGGGAATTTTTATCACTCTATCGCCTTTGTTTTACCAGAGGTGAATAATTAAATTAATATGTTCTATTAATTTAAAAAAATATATATTTTTGAAAAATATATTTTTTAAAAATAAATTTTAATTAATAATTAAAAAAAAATAAATTTTCAAAACCTTGGTTTTTTGTTGGCTGCCAATAAAAAATCAAGCTTTTGAAAATCGATTTTGTTTCCTTGGCAATTCTTTGGCAACTAATAATGGCCCGATGCTTGGCTACCGATCATTGGCAGTAGCGTGATCATCCCAAGTTTAAACCATCGGTGGTCCAATGATGGTTGCCAATAGTTTTGCCAAGAAAAAATCATTGGGTGCCAAGCATGGCCGATTATTAACCCAATCGTTACCGTCGGCAACTTCCCGTTGGGAACTGACCGTGTAAATAAATAAATATTTAATAAGAATATATTTTCAATTTTTAAAAAACTAATATTTATTCCAAAGTTTGCAAAAAGTATAAATTTTGCTTCAACTTAACTAAAAAATATCCAAATCGCAAAATAAATTAAATTAAAAATAAAAAGTAACTCTCGGTCTAATATTGGTCCAATTTTATTTAAATACTACGCCAATTCATGCAAGGAAAAATTAATTCTGAACAATGTAGAAATAAAAGACTTGATTTTATTAACGTAAATAAAAGTAAATAAATACCTAAACGTTTTTATATTTATCATATATTTGTTAGAGAAAAATCGCAAATATCTTCCCTTCAGAAATTTTTTTCAAAAAGGATCAAGGGAGGAAACAATTTTTTTTTATTTTTCAGTAAAAAAATGCATTTTTAAGTGAGAGAAAAATATTCCATATCGAAGAAATTTGTTTTATTCAGATATTATTCAACTTTATGTACCTATATATATATATATATATATATATATATATAAAATATAGAGAAACGAAAATGTTCATGTAAATTATTAGTTTTCTCATGGGTATCAGATCGTGGTAATCTTTTTCCTTTTTATTTTCTTCTTCTTTTTTTTAGAAAAGAATCTTTAGTTTTAATGGGCAGAAACACGGTCTGATAAGTAGAACAGAAAGCAAAACATTGCGGTTGATTTCCGCTGGGTATTTCGGGTTGGAAAGTGTATATGGATTCATCTTCTCTTGAGGAGGAGGACTGGTCGTCGAGAGATATAACTCGCGGGAGGGAGAGAGAGAGAGAGTAGAGGATAGAAGAGAAGAGATGTTACGGTTTCCTGTCGAGTGAGATCGTATCCGTAACTATTATCATATGCATCCAACTGTGCAGGCACGGGCCGCAAGCGTTAAGTAGTAAAAGGACATGACGAGACGGCTGCAAGACGGCTGCTTCAATTACTAAACAATGTCTCACGAGTCAGTGAACACCCCTTTAAACTCTCTTCTTCCCCCTCTCTTCCAGCTCCCCCGTATTTAGGCACGAGCCAACTTCCGGCAGAAATTTTACTTAAAGACTTCTTATAAAAGTATCTTCAATATTTGAAAACAATGGATTGTATAATGAACAGATTATATAGTCAGCTGTTTATTCTTCCGAAGGGAAATATTATTCTAACGAAAGAATGTATGTATGTCGAAAAGAATGTAGTTTTTTTTATGAGGCACATAAATAGACCCCAATTTTTATTTTACGAATCTTTATTTCACCGAATTTCTTTTTATCTAATAGGAATTAGAACTTTATTTAAGTATTATTTAATTATTATTTAATTATTATTTAATTATTATAATTATAATTAATTAAAACTAGCAACAATTCTCACTCACTTTTTTCAATAAAATTAGCAATTTTAAAAATAATAGAACGTACAAATTTTTAATAAAAATTTTTTTTTAATACAATATGAATTGGAATATATAGTTTTAAAATTATTATAATTATAATAATCATATATTCTGACATAGGAAATTCAAGGAAAAGTTAGGAATTGTTATTAGAAGTACCCGTGTGGAAAATGAAAATTGGTCCTAGCCAGGTCCTACCTATTTTGCCCTGTTAATAGCTTGGTCCTAGGTTGGCAGTGTAGGTTGGACCAACAATGGGTGGTGATGCGATTCTAGTCTGGTCCTAACTTGGGAGCCTAGTTAGGACCAGTTTATGGGTCCATTTTAGGACCTAGAAAGGACCATCTCAGACAGTATTTTCTATTTCATTATAATTTTAATTAGTTAATAATATTTGTTAAAGAAATAACCTAAATTATTAATAATAAGTATTAGTTTTAATTAATTATTATTTTTTTCAATTAAGTGATGACCAAAAGCGAATTCATAAATAATGTTAGTATATGTAGAGATTAATATATATTCCTCTAATATATACATTAAAAATTATAAAAAAAATTAGAAACTTGTTAATTAAATTATTTTACAGTATATATAATCATTAAATTGCTTACTTATACGAATACAACGCAGAAAAATCGGAATAAACGCAAACCTAAGAAGTAAATAAAATCTAACGCACGCGGGAATCGAACCTACGACCTACGGACTACGAGACTAACGCCCTAACCACTTTTTTTTTTTTTTTTTTTTTTTTTTTTTTTTTTTTTTTTTTTTTTTTTTTTTTTATTTATTTTTGTAACAAAATTTAAATACATATATACAAACAAATAACGCAATAAACAAACAAAGAGCGTTTCAAAACAATAGTACATAAAAACACCTTTTCATCGTTCGGACCAATGTGGTCAAAAACTCGACGACACTTCAAAATACATATTTTTCCACAATAAAAAAAATTAACACACTATAATGCTAGATTGCATAACCCAAATCATGGCCCACAAGCAAGAATTTATTTAGCCAGAAACACCGCATGGAGAAAAACTGGCCATCATACATATATAAAAAAAAAAAAAGAAAGGACGGAAATGCAAGGGGAGGGGAATAAACTCTTCATTTCTCAAAAAAGGAAATGTTTCATTATAAGTATATGACTCAATTTAAAAATTGCTCTCCAAGAAGGGAAATCACAATAAATTAAAATGTATCAAATTGAATGTAAATATGCAAAACAAAATAAAATTCTTCCCAAAAAAATCATTATAAATTAATCATATAAGAAAAATTATTATTTTATTTATTCCCTTTTAATAAAAAAAGAGAGCCAAAAAATGTGATTTATAATTTGGAGAGGGAAAGATGAATGCCATAGTCATGAGGAAACAGGGTTGAAATTTCCTATGACATGGCATTATCTACACTCATCCAAACTTTATCTTATCTGTCTCTAAGCCACCAGTATTTTTCCTTTAAGTGATTCCCCGTTCTTTTCTTATAATCACAATTCGAAAGACTCGTGGAGAAGCGCATCGCTATACTTGAATCATTTCTTATGTCTCTAGCATTAAACCTTATTTTCCGGTCTCTAGCATGTCGTTTCACGTGATACAGGATCGGGACCCCGCCCCCGTCCACTACGAAACCATGCTTGTCAAGATAGGTGAATGTCTCGGGCGTCAGGATTCCCCCCATCACCAGACTCTTCAGCAACTCTTCCTCTTTCAAAAGAGCGCACGATACCAGCGGGTTTCTATGATTCCTTGTCGCCCTCGCTATATAATCGCCAATGAGTCCCACGATGAATACATCAATTCTAGGAATACCCGCTGCATCGTACAATCTTCTGGTGGCAATATACCTTTTAAATCCAGTGTCAGGGTCCCTGTATAGCCCAAGACAAGCCCTTAAACACTTTCTCTCAAATTTTCTGAGTTTCTCCATGGTCGAGGGCGCGATCCCGAACCAGATCTGACAGCCGTACGTTAAAATTGGCCTTATCAGCAATAAATAACAAATGATTTTAACTTTAAAGTTTAATTTAGCAGAATAAAAAAGTCTTTTATAATTAAAAAATGAATTTTTTGCTTTCTCTAATGCCCTCTCCACGTGTCCATCGAACTTGAGTCTATTGTCAATTTGAATTCCTAAATATTTTACCGAATCTTTATGTGCTATAAAAACG